TGTGTGTGTGTGTGTGTGTGTGTGTGTGTGTGTCACTGGCCCAGGCCACAGGACTCGGGCACAGGAATGCCGGACAGGATGTAGGGAGAGAATTCCAGAAAGACTGGAGTCAATGCAAAACACACCCTGAAGTGCCTCTGAGTGTAACACAGAGACACAGAGACTGTAAAACCTCGTCCCTCGAGTCCAATTTACACTCTCACACACTCGGCTGTGTCTTCTTCTGTCCCCAGGTAACTTCCTCAGCGTCTGAAATCTTGATTTTCTGCACACTGTACACACTGTGCCTTTACTTGAAAAAGAAAAATGACAAAACGGGTTCGCTGCTCAGCACAAGTTTGAACTTCTCTCTGCTCTGCACGTGTGACAGTCTGGGAGGCTGCATGCTGAAATGACTATGCAAGTGGTGAAAATGCATTCGCTGTTGTTTGTTCCAACGTTTGTTTCGCTCTGGTTTGCGTGCCAGTGTGAACCGTACCGCCACGGCTCCATTAGTCCATCTGTGGAGAGTATCGAGGGTAAACACGGGAACAATCGCTGTATATCCTGAAGACAAACAACACAACCCGGCAGCGCTCAAGTGCTGTGCACAAGTGTGCGACTTAGGAAAATCTTTTTTAAAAATACCAGAAGCATAACTCCCATGAGGCCCTGCATGGCTCTGGATATGTGCACGCTGTCATTACATTATGAAAAAAAGACTAAATGTCAAACACTGTACTCAGTAATGACAGTGGGAGATTTCAAATGAAGAGACAGGACATTTCTGTTTTTCTCTGAACATCTGTGTTCATATGAGACAAGTGTTATGGTCCTTCACTTATTAATGTTAAAATTAAGAAGAAGAATATTCACGATGAGGATCGAGCCAACAGAAGATTTCTTTGAGGTGATGGCAAAATCCACATTAATCCAACAGAAAATACCTTTTCAGTATCTCCTGACTCATCATCACTTGACCTTCTATTTCAAAGTGCAATGATCTGTAAGTTTCAGGAAATCACTTAAAATGTGCACAGCTCAGCAGCAGCTACTTCACAGTATCACATCGTGTAGCACAACTTCATTTGGGGTCATTTTCACCCCCAACAGAACCTACAAAGCTCTCAGGCCTGATAGAGGCACAAAAAGGACAGAGTGACAGAGACAGATCCACAAAGGAGGATGAAATGAGGAGAATGAATCTCGGCTGGGTCTCCTCCACCTCTTTGTTTGTGCTCGCTGCTGGCCGTGCTCCTCTCCCCACCTTACAGCAATGTACCGAGGAGGGGGAGTCAGCCACGAACAGAAACAGCCTCGGGTGTAAACATCCAGGATGCAGCAGCGAGGGGCACAGCTGTTCCGGACTGGAGAGACCCTCGTCTCCTCGAGTGTTTTCTAATGAACATGGTGGTGAGTTTACAGACACACAGCTTGGCAGGAGAGAGGAGCAGACACGGCAACAAGTGGCCACTGCGGAGTGAGACTGTGCCCATAATGTTTTACAGACAATGATCAAAGGATGAAAATCTTATTTTTCTGGGATTCATTTAGGGAATGACACTGAACTATTTCCTGTTGTTTGATGTGGAGTGTTGGGCACTGTCAGATATTTAGTTCTGGTCTTTCTTCACCCAGTGTTTTCCCTGTGTCTGTTGATGACTTTATGTTAAACCTCACGGCATCACTGCAACAACAGAAAACACAGTGACTTCACATTTTTGACCATTTGCCCTTTGAGGTTGCACAAGAGGAACTCACTTGTTCCTTGAGACTTTAGTGACACAGAAGTTTGACTCACAGAGGGAACAAGTTATTAGACATCACCTTTGACAGAAGAAGGATTTCTGGGCTGCACAAAGCGTAGTTTTTATTGCTCCAATTCTCTCCTCCCTTTATTGGCTGCCAGTTAAATTTGGGATTGATTTTAAGATTCTTTAAATAACTTAAAGCTCAGCACGGTCTGGCCTCAATTTATATCCTGGAGCTAACTCCCTGCGCTCCAAGCTGTAATCTAAGATCCATAAGAATAACAATTTTAGTGGTTCCTAAATCAAGGCTGGAAATTTCGGGTCGGAATATACTTGCTGTCAACTTCGCAGACAAGTACCAAAGATGGCTACTTTGTGTGTAGCTTGTGCAAGTCCTCAGAAACTAACTTACACAAGATGCAAAACACATGTAATAGGTCACAGGGCAGTTGCAAGTCTTTGACAGGACCTGTGGGATCTTGATTTTGAAAAAAGCCAAATCTTGATGTCTTCAAGAGTCGCCATTGTTTACTAGAACTGGCAGAACGATTGGTTGGAGAGCTGAACACTCACACTTAGTCTGAGTTCTGTGGCGTGTCCTCTACAGGAATCCTTCAGCAACAAGCACAGCACCTTAGCAAGTACTCGTGGTGAAACAGCAAGGCCTAAGGGTGACTCTTGCCACCAGGGCCCTGGGACTCTGGAATTCCTTTAAATCATTACTTAAAACATATTTTTTCTACAGGAAATGCTTTTTAATGCCTGATCTTAACTAGAATAAATAGATTTTGTTTGTTTTTAATATTACCTATAATATAATCTTTCCTTTTTATCTTGTTTTTAGTGCTGTTGACATAAACTTTTAGGACTTTTGTTATAAAACTTGTGGGGAGGAGTAGCCACTTTGACAACACATTGGCTGGTGGGCATCTTAGAGACCCTGCCCTCGGCCAGGCAGCATCAGCAGCAGAGAGGGGGCATCATGTGGATGCAGCTTCCATAATGAACCATGGCACAGAGCAGCTATTCTCTGCAGGGGAAACACCTCCAGAGTGAAATGCATTCAGCAGCTTGTAATGTGAGTGTTTGAAAGTGGTGATTGTGCAGAAGAGTGTAAGTGGAGGAGGAGGAGGAGGAGGAGGAGAAGTGAAGAGGAGGAGAGCAAACTTTATCTGAAACTTTGTCTCACCTTCTCAGAGCTGATGCTCAGCTTCTTCTCGACGTGCTCGTGAATTTCCCCGTTTGTCTTCGTGGACTCCCTGGGTGTCACCTCCACTTTCTCCTCTTCTTCCTCCTCCTCGTGCTGCTGCTGCTGCTGCTGCTGCTGCTCCACCATCACCACCTCCTCCTCTTCCTCCACCTCCTCCCGCTTCTCCTCGTCGCCATCCGTCCCGTCCACCTCTTCCTCTACCACCACCTCCTCCTCCTCCTCTTCATCGAGCTGCACCGGGACTCCCTCGGTCACATACTCCTTCAGACACTTCATGTTGTGCCTCTTCAGCAGCTGCTCCGTGTCCGGATCCACCACGATGAGCTCCAGGCGGCCCGGGGTGGCTCGTATCCGGGACACGACCTGTTGGTGGGTCTCGGTCTCCACGTCCTCGCCGTTCACGAACACCAGGCGGTCCCCGGCGCGCAGCCCCGAGGTCTCCGCCGGGCTGTCGGACTCCACCAGGCGGATGAACTGGCCCGTCTTACCTTTCTCCCCGTGGAGGTGGAAGCCGTAGCCGTTGTCCCCCTTCTCCAGCGCGCACAGCCGGGGGCGCAGACACTGGCTCTTGCTCTGGCGCATGGTTGGCTTCGGTCGCCCGCTCACTGCCGCTGCTGCTCAGCCTCGTTGCTGGATCTCAGAGGAGACGAGCAGAGGACCTGCCCAGGATGCTGCTCACTGAGTAGGGGTGAGTGTGGGAATGAGTGGTACCCCTTTTGGAAAAAAAAACTCCCAACCCCCGCCCTCTGCAGGGAGATCAGTCCGTGGGAAGCTGCGGAGCTCTTCTTCTTCTGCAGCAGCCCACAAACCACCAGTGTTTGGTCAGACCCTCGCACCTATTGGCACAGACTGAACAGAGGAGGCTCCTGAGCTCACTCATCTGAGCTGGGAGCTGCTGTCAGTGTTTAAAGTAGAGAAGCAGCTCAGGAAGAGGGAGGTGCGTTCAGGGACCAGCCCTGCTCCCCCCCTGCTCCTCCTGCTCCTCCTGCTGCTGCTGCCTGGTGTAAAGAGGCTGTGACTGGAGGAGCAAACACAAACTAACCGAATAACAGGATAAAGATGATCAGAGGACAAGACAGTGTTGGAATAGAGAGAAAAATAACTTTTAGAAATGTTGTAATAAACTTTGTATAGTGGCCCTGAAGTGCAAATCACAACTCAAAAGACACAACAACGAATCACAAAACACTGACAACCCAAAAAACACTACGACAAATGAAAACACACAACATGACAAATGAAAAGGTGTTTTTCATTTGTTTGTACGATCCAGATTTTGCATTTCATGTACATGCAGCATTTGAGCCAACTGTTCTGTAGAAACATTGGAACATCCATTGATAAAAACAGAGTTAAAAATACAACCTATGAGCAAAAATCTGTCTTTAAACTTAAAGAGGACTAATAAAAATACTAATACTACTACTAATAATAATAATATTGTGACGTTTATTGTCATAATTATCAACTGATAATTATGACCATATGGTTATGCTGATTACTGTGTTGTATCATCTGCCATGAAAACAAATCCCATGTGTGGAATTCAATACTGAGATTTTAAAGTTGTTATATTAAGATGCCAGCCTGCCAGAGACAACATCAAAATAGTTTTGCATGAATGTTTTTGACAGATAACATTTAGTTATAACTTGTTTTTAATGCCAGTCTCCACATCCTTATCTGCATCGGTTTTCTTTTCAAGTCAGTGGACTCAGATCCCACACACACAAAAAAAGAATAGTCTGACAGGAAGCTGCTGAACCAAACCTTTGGATGCAGGATTTGACTCTTCAGCTGAGAATACTTCCAGACCTGATAAGAGGACAGTGACAGGAAATCTCAACACTCTGCAACCTGGAGATTTCAAGCCACCGGAGCATCTGTGCCGATAACTGCAGTGTGTTTGACTCGTTCAGCGAGGAGTTCACCTGTTAGTGGGAAATCATCCCAATGATTGATCCATCTCAAAGTTAATGATGGAGGACGTGCAGGCCCCTCACTGTGTCACAGATGTGAGTGGGAGAGGAGGCCTGCTGCGTTCAGGTGTACAGCCCAGTGCAGTGAATCATGAATGAGCTCCAAGATTTTAATGTCTTCACCAAGCACGTAAATACAAACTCACTGCAGCGACAACGATGACAAAAACTTCACGGTTACAGATCTTGAGTGACATGAAATACATTAACACGTATGTTGTCACCTGTCAGTTTCCCTGTGCTACATAGAATAAAAGTGTAGCTGCTGCCACACAGTGGCTCATTAACCTCAGCACATCCTGTCACCCACTCCTTCTCCTCTCCACCCTAATATCAACACACACACAAAGACAGACACACAACACAGACTTCAATAAAACAACACCACATACATTACAAAATATACTTTTTATATATGTGTGTATATATAATATATATGATTACAAAGCACTTTGTCGTGGCACTTTGTGATCACCGTGATGCCTCAGACAAACGTGACACTGAACAAGATTGACAAGCAAACATTCAAAATGAACACTTACAAAGAATCGAGTTTACACGATGCAGCGTATGAACGAATACAGCTTCGCTACAGCCCAGACGACAACATCCATCATTAAAGAAGACACATCAGTGTTTGGGAGTGCTGTGTGTGTGTGTGTGGCTGTGTGTGCACTGCATACTGAGGAATCCCTATCTGAAAACATGACAGTAATAACAATCTTTTTTTTTTAATATGGAGCCTGGTGGAGATGATCCTCCAGCACGGTTGCATTTGCACTTCTGAGTCTCACCTGGCCTTTAATAGAATGTACAGACAGAGACACGGTGGGCGAGCAACCTCAAAATGTTGGTTTTATTCTACCTAACAGCAGTACAGATGTGAACAGACGGGATTAGTTTAGCTACAATCTGACTGTGAGACTGAGGCCCACTTCTCAAACACACTAAATGAATAAAGGATGAGGATGTAAGGCCAAAAAAGGGGATTCGGTTCACAGTCTGGTAAAATGGTGACAAAACAAACTGAGAGCTGTATGGCAAAAAATGCTATACCCACATCAACAGTCGTATTGATTGTTCATACAAAAAACAGCTGTTTATTAAGAGCAGAATGAGAATAATCTGTTTTTCTCGTTGTCCCTGCAGATGAATATAGCATTTCAGATTGTAACTCCTGACTTGTAACTGTCACCAAACACACCACAGACATTTTTCTACGCATGACATTAAAAACAGATTTGAATTCACATTTCAGATAAGGGATGGCGGCCGATCCAGATTCCCCCTCAGCTCAGAGCTCAGTGAAGAAGTCAAAGGCGTCCGCTTCTCACGTTTGGAGCTGAGATTGGCTTTTTGTGTGTGAGCAGACATTTTTACCTCGTTCCCGCTCCCTCGCTCCCTCCCTCCCTGCCTCCCTCTCTCTCTCTCTCTCTCTTTCTCTCTCTCAGTGTGTCTCTCTCTCTCCACCTGGTGATCAGCATCAGCTACACCCCGCTACAGCAGCCAGACTTCTGCTTCTGAGACTCGATGTAGTCGTGTATCTGGAACTTGGGCTCGTTTGGCTGCTGTGTCGCTCTGTGCCTCAGCTCCCTGATGGAGAGAGAGAGAGAGAGAGGGAGGGAGGGAGAGGAGGTCAGATACAGAGAGGGTGGATGTGTGGGATTGAGTACAGACAGGGTGAGCGAATTAAAAAAAATGAGAAGGCAAGAGAAATAAATCAAGCAGCAGGGTGAGCGAGAGAAACGTCCCTCTCTGCTGAGATTTAATCAAAAAGCCTCTGGCATGAATCATTTCATCTAACTTGCACTTAAAATACCCAGCGCACGAAGACGGCAGATCACCACATTACTTTTCCTGCACCGCTCTAAAGGAACATGCTGTGCAAATGTAACAACCCTGCTCACATTTCCTGCTATTCACTGAGAAAGGTGTGTTCACAAGGAAATCAGACAAAACAAGAAATCAAATCACACAGTTAATGTTCGCGATCCACACGCAGCCTCAAATGTGCACAGTTTAATTCCACAGAGCCGACAGGAACAAACATCAAATTAGCTGAAGAACCATCAGGGGGGTATTTAGATTCAGGACTCCGAGGGGGAACTGTGAACATTAATGCCACGTCAAAGAAAAATATAAAAATACACAAAGGTGAGGAGAAGAGCAAAGAAAACAGATTCAAAAACACAACCTTCATGTGTTTATCAGTCCAGAAGCATGACCCAACATGAACTGGATTCATTTTGTTTTGCTTTGGCCTATTAATGATTACTGCTACTGCTCATTCATCTGGTTACATGGTGTTTACTGTAATTAATCATTAATTCTTTCCAGCATCTTGTAAGTCCTTGACTTTAAGCTCAAATTAAAGACAAGTGATTGATTAACCCTATATTTATTTTAATTTGTATTTCCTCTTGTTCATTATGTTTAACCAGCAACACTATAGTATGAATTCAGTGTAGAGTGAGAAATAGTAAAGTGACAAAATTAGCATCTCTTCTTATATATCTTTAACCTTTTGTAAGCACATGGGGGAAAAAACCCCAAAACAGTTTCGTTAGACACCAGGGGGCCATCGAGACGCTTTGGCTTCACTTTTGGGAAGCTCTCATATCCTCCATTGTTTTAAAGAGTGAAGTGGCAAACCTGTTAACAACTATTGCCAGCAACATCCGGCAGCCACGCAGCAACATGAGCATTCATTTGGTGTCAAGTCCAATATTTACTCCCTTTTTTTAGCTAAGTTTTGTTCTCCACCAACTCCTCCTGGTAAAACTTTATTTGCTAATGCTCCACTATGTTCACCAGCTAATCGCTACCTTGGACTTTCTGTTGTTTGGTGCCAGGCAGCAGGTTGTGTACTTCATGACTTACTTTGCTATAGCGAGAAAGGCCAGCTCCACATTGACTCCCGTCTTCGCACTGGTCTCCATGAATGGCACACCGTATTCCTGCGATGAAAAGGCATTAGAAGAGGAATTGGAGTGTCTGTTGTTGAAAATAAAACCACATGGTGCCGATCTACTGAACTTTACCTTGGCCAGCTTCTCTCCTTCCTCTGTCTTCACGACCCTCTCTGCAGCCATGTCTGACTGTAAGCCAGCAGTGGGGAGAGAAAGCAAGTCATAAAGGAGAAAGGTGAAAGGTCACAGCTTCACCATGCCATTAGCTACAGTGATGCACTCCCATGTCAGCCCCCCGCATCACCCTTATCTGGCTGCCCCGCTGAGCCCTGCTGCTCTCACAGCAAATTATCTGAGCTGCCGCTGTGTGACATCTCTGGCCCGTGAGCACGGTGTGTCCTCTCTGAACCACCAGAGGGAGCTTTTAGATATATTGGCAATGACTGCTGGTTGCAATGAGACATGAAAACTCATCTGTTCCTCACCAGCAGCGTTGTGAAGAAAATGGTTTCATGCAAGACAAGCTCGAAGCGAGTGCATTGTTATTTGTATCGCTCTGTTTTTCCAGTGTATCTATAATGATCATAGAACACTGGGTGATGGGTACATTCTGTAAATGCACCCACACTATTGTCACTGCAGACAAATGTGCACATTAAAATCAACGAAGACACACGAGCATGATTAAGACGCTGTTTCAAGTTTGCATTCATGCATGTGCTGCACAGTGGAAGCATTTTCTGCCTTTTGAGCATTCTCATGTCTGTCTGAGTGAGATAAGAGTGCGTTAAAATTGTGCTAAGGGACCACTTATCCTCCTGATCCTTTTATGTAACGCAAAAAAGGAAGCTTCGCTCACCTTGTTGCCGAGCAACATTATGACCACATCCTTCTGGGCATACTCGTGTATTTCTGTGAGCCAAGCCTTCAAAAGTGTCAGAGATAGAGAGAAACATGAGAGACAGAGAGAAAGAGATTCATAACCTAAACACATACCACCACTCAAAGTCTGCATTCTCCCCTCCTGTTCTCTGTAATAATATCACCATCATCCAATCAATCATGGCAGGACTGAGTAACTCTCATCCTTGAACACTTTTATTGCTTTTCATCATTGAAAACTTGGAACTGTGCAAGCAAGCGAGCAATATCATCGTGTCATTTCCAAAGAAGGCTGTGAGGAAACGTTGGAGGCCCTCACAGTACTTTGCATGTAAATAGACAGAGTGGAGCATTAAGCTTGAGAGGGTTTAGAAGCAGGAATTGAGAATGAAGACAGAGCAGAGAGAGAGAGAGAGAGAGAGAAGAAAGTAATATGAGACTGTCTTACCCTGATATTGTCAAATGACGTCTTGCTGGTGATATCATAGAGCAGAAGTAGAGCTGCAGAAAGAGACAGAGGAAGAGAGCAGTTGAAAAGTTATTATTAAATTGCTGCACACTGTCTTATGTAACATCGACACCTACACACCATTTCTATGCACACTAATAAAAATATTCACACATCTCAGCCAGGTTGCTCCCTTACCTACGTCCTGAACTCCCCGAACCACCACCCACCCACACACACACACAAATAACGAAGTATCGCAATATAATGAACAAAGGTTACCCTGGGCGTCTCTGTAGTAGGCGTGCGTTACACTGCGGAATCTCTCTTGGCCGGCTGTATCCCAGATCTGCATGAAAAAACACATGATGACACATCAGCTAACGTGGGAAAACTGGACCATCCTTGACGCTCCTCACCTCAACGACTGAGATGGAACGAATGCATATTTGCTTAAAATTGAATCCAGAGTGAAATCTAGCTGCTGATGAGCTAGCTGCAGCAAACTGCTAATCCCTGATATACGTTGTTTCGTGTAAGTGAACAGATGCGACTCACAGTTGAGGTTGTCTACTGCTGATGATAGTAATATTCCTCTATTTAGCCCCAAACAAACTAACAAAATATTGAGTCAGTAGGAAGATTTTAAACTTTTTATTGTATTTGTAAAACAGTTTTAGCTGTGTTTCTAATGTAGGAGCCTTTGCAGTAAACTGTGTGTTTCCTCCACAGACTGTTTATAAAAATGGACGATTGCATCTCCACTTCATATTGTTAGATGGATTTGAATGTTTACTGTCCTTGTTGTGTTGCTTTTCTTTATTTCTGCCTCCCAGTGGATTTTACTGGAAATCTCCCCTGATCTTTAGATTGACGTTTTCATTTACAGTTCTAGGAACATTTGGGCGAAACGCGGCTACAGACTCATGGTGGTTTCATCACGTGTCATCTGAGAGAAGAACTGTCCACCCAGTGTTGAATGAACAGGTTTGGAGGTTATCTGGGTTTGCACCTTGGATGAACAGCATGTTTTACATTACATTGCAGAGTCCCTGATAATCACATTATCACTCTGATATCATTGTCACGCCAAATGTAAATCAGCGACTTCGACTGGATTATTCTTGTAAGTATCATAAACTACCAAATGAGTTTAGGTTGCGATACAGAACAGAGGATTTATCATTTGTTGGTGTAAAGTTGCATGCTCTTACCTGGAGTTTGACTTTGAGGCTGTCGACATCCACCACTTTATTCTACAGAAACAAGGAGAGGGGGTGTGAGGGACTGATAAATCACCATATGCTCCAGAGACTGGAGTGATCTGAAAACTGCACAGGAATGAATGACGACTGCAAAACGCTCTGAGACACAGCGTGTGGCAAAAGAAACAAGACGACTAAAAGTGTCTTTGAATGCTGGCAGAGAAAGTAATTTACAACACCCACGTAACAACAAGGTCCCAGGATTAGACTTAATTACACAACAGTGAGAAAGACGACTGGCAGCATAACAACGGATGCCCCCATTAATTTCCTTCAGCCCTGTAATGGTGCCCTCTGATTTCCTGTAAAGCTACGATTGGCCTAAAATTGTTTAGAAATGCCAGATATAAAAAGACTAACTGTGGTGATTATTGCAAAAGAACACCAGAGGCAATTAAGAGTGGAGTGGAAATAAAGGTTAAGATAGCATGCAGTATTTTGTCAAGCATGCTCAGTCATGCAAAAAGGAAAATACAGGTTCTTCCATGCTCTCTTTCATGGGTAGTATCACAATCATAGCTGCATCTCAACAAAACACCCTGAAGAGAGAGGTTGAGAAGAAGGAAGTGCATCGAGCAAATGCAGCACTTCCTGGATCACTTCATAACTTCACATTAGTGACAGGTCATCACAATGAGTTCCTGCCTTTCCTGTGAATAAGCAGCAACACATTCCAGAAATGCACAGAGACAAAAGAGTCACTGAGCAAGAGCCACCGAGCTACAGCCACCACCTGCTGAATCCTTTGCCTTGGCAGAATGGACATGGTTCAACCTCTGCATTAGTTGCCATGGGTTTCCATTTTTTTCCCGTCCAATTATGACGTGAGAGGAGCCTGCATGCTGAGTAACGAGGAAGCATGCCGAAAATAGAGCGGCCATGTAGCAGGCTGCCACAACAGCACCGTCTGTGTGCAGAGGACAACCTCAGCCCATTGACTCCAATGCATCTCTCTCAGATCAATCTCATTTGTGAGCAGCTTTAGCCCCCGTTCACACTCAAGGAGGTAAACAAAAGGTAATCCCTCACATGAGAGCCATTCATCTGAGTAAATACACATTTAATCCAGCGCATTCATCAAATGAATGGATGTGTAAATCAATCACTTCCCCTTTTTAGTGCAGTTCATGAGCAGACGCGAAGCACAGTACCTGTTGCTTTGGCTTTAATGGGGGGAAAATGAAATGTCAGACATCCAGTGTGCTGCCTTGTGTCTACGCCATCTTCCAATGTTGAGAAATCTGTTTAGCTAATGCAACAAAATGTCCTCTTCAAACCAATTGATTTGCTGTTAATGGGAATGTTTTGCCTTAATTGGAGGGAACGATTTTGTGAAGAAGGGGTGAGAGGACAGACCACTCACTCAGAACAGCCTATTTTCCATGTCCAGCCCCACTGGAGGAAAATATATTGTATAAATTGGCTCTACATTCAGCAGCGGTGTTGTGTGTGTGCATGAGATGTGTGTGCGCACAAGGTGTGTGTGTGTGTGTGTGTGTGTGTGTGTGTGTGTGTGTGTGTGTGTGTGTGTGTATAGGTAAGAGCTTGTCTGTCAGCAGTGTGACTCCTCCACGTTCAAGTTGAGCTGCAGCCAATCTTTCCAGGAGATGGGGACGTGGGCAGGCATCTGCCAAGCCATTTATGAAGCTGTCCACACTGCACTCGCAGCACAAGTGGTCTGTGAACTTGACTGCTTGGTGAGAGGATTTGTACATTTGGTGCTATCGTCGGCGGGTGATGAAGTGTTCAGTGTGGACGTGAGGTGATAATTGGTCTGATGTCACTCAAACAAGTGGACCCCTTGTTGCTTTGTAAATATCAGTAGGTTGTTTTTCAGATTTCAGTACTTTCTCATGAGCGTATAACAAGAATATGAAATGAAGAGCTGAATAATGAACAATGTTATGAATCATTCTGTGAGTTCTGGGGCTGCTCTGCAGCATCTCTCTCACCCTAAAATCTATTCCAACGGTGGCTATAAAGTTGCCTCCGAGAAATGCTCCATCTTTAAAGCGCACCAAGATGCACGTCTTCCCCACAGCCGAGTCTCCGAGCAGCATCACCTAAAGCAAAGCCACCACCAGAGAGAGGGACAACAGGTTACAGCTGGATAACAACACGAGTTACAGAACTGTACATGATGGCAGAGCAGAAATTCTAGTTCCTGAGAGGAGGAGAAATTTGAAGCTGAGGGAGGTGTTGCATAAATGATTTTGCAATTAAGGGAAAAGGAATATTTCACAACTGGGAACACGATGTTTGATTCAGTTGCAAAACATCTCATTTTGGTTAATGTGGCGGCTCATTAATGCTGCTTTAGTACAGATGGTGTTGTGATCCACTGTTGACTGAGCTGCCACCAACATGTGACACACTCTCAGTTGACTGGAGGAGGGGGGGGGGGGTTCAAGATTACACATTACAGATTGCAGTAAACTCTGTAATTTTGCTCTGAATAATTATTTTTCTCAGCTGAGCATCCTCCTCCAAAACTTATCGATATAATTACAACAATCCATCCCAGAGTGTGGTTTAAACCTTCACTCG